ACAATCCCTGTGGGTGTGGTTTGCAGGCCTTCCGGGGGTACTGTGGATTTGACATATCCGACCCAAAATCTTGTTTAAGTTGGACAACTCATCGCTGTCATCCTTAAGAGGCGGTGCTTTGTTGTTTGGCCGCGAGCTTTTGAATCCGGCGTTGACTGCCGTGCTCTTTGGGCTTTTCTCTTTATTCCGGCGCTGCTCTTTTCTGCGCCGTGATTTTCCATTTCCATCTCTTATCTCGGATGTACTTGGGTCGCTGGTGCTGCATCTTGCTAGCCAGCTATCCTCTCCCGCACAGAAGCGGGTCATGAGACTCGTTAGCGCAGACATTGTCCTCGGTTTCTCTTGGCCGAGGTGCCTGGCAAGCCATTCGTCTCGGACATTGTGTTTAAAAGCTGCTAAGGCTTCGGCGTCCGGACAGTCGACTATTTGGTTCTTTTTAGTGAGGAACCTGTTCCAGAATTTGCGCGCTGACTCTCCGGGCTGTTGAGTTATATGACTTAGATCATCTGCATCTGGAGGGCGGACATAAGTCCCTTGAAAATTTGCTCTAAACGCGTCCTCGAGCTCTTCCCAACTTCCAACAGTGTTTTCTGGGAGGCTTTTAAGCCAATGACGGGCTGGCCCTTTGAGCTTGAGGGGTAGGTATTTTATGGCGTGGAGATCATCTCCTCTGGCCATGTGTATATGTAGTATATAATCTTCTATCCAGACTCCAGGGTCTGTTGTTCCATCGTAGGCCTCTATGTTTATGGGTTTAAATCCTGCTGGGAATTCATGGTCCAACACCTCATTGGTGAAACATAGTGGGTGTGCGGCGCCCCTGTATTTGGGTGTGCCACTATCTTCGGACACTTGACGTGTTGCCTTGCTTTCTGGGGCCTTCTTCTTTGGCCCGTAGATGGACCTGGCTGGGCCATCTGTCCTTCCAAGTTCGTTGGTTGGTTTATGTGTGGCGCCGCTTTCAGAATTTGGCCTGTCATCCGGCCGTCTATCCAACCAGGCAACCTCTTTATTTTTTGACTGTGGGGGCTCTATGGCCTCGTCGTCGAATTCTGGTAGCAGCTTGCGCTTCGGGTAGCTCTTTGATTAGTGGCCATTGCCGTATTTATCTGCGGTTTTGAGTACTTTGCTCCACCTCATTCTGAGTGTGTCTTCCGCTGTTTTGAGCTTCCGTTTTTCTTTCTTCAAGCTTCTTGCAGTGTTGACGAGTCTTTTCCGAAGGTTTTTACCTTCCGGCGGCGTGTCCGGCGTGAGATCGTCCGAACCGTCGTTTTCGTCGGGCCTGGACTGATTATCTGACTCGTCCTGTTCGGACGGTTGCTTATCTACATGCTCGTCATCCACTTTTGTGCCCTGCTGTAATGCGGGGTCCTTAGGAGCGTTGTTGTTGTCGAGGCGGGGCTTAGGGCGGCGTCTGCGCCGCCGTTTTGGTTGTTTATCGGTGGGGTTATCCTTTGCCGCGGCCCGTTGGTCCTCGTTATCGCTCTCTTTTGGGGGTATCCACCATGTATATGTCGTATGACGAGGTGGTCCTCACGTGCGCTACAGGCGCTATTTCTTGTTCGTCTCCGGCGTCGTCGTCTATAGCGTCGATGTCTTCGGAGTTGTAGTCTAGCATGTCGGTTAAGTCGTCGACAGTGGCTACAAAGTGGGTGGTGGGTGGGCTCTGAATTTCTTCGTCGCCCGTATCCCAACCATCCTGGCCATAGTCCGGCCAGGGCTCTCCTGATAACGAGAGATGCTTTAGTGAATTCAGGATGTCGCCAAAAGGCGAGTATTGGAAGATGTCCGTGGCGGTGAATTCCATAACCGGCGCCCAATCCGATTTGGTTGGTAGGGGCGTGGGAGGTTCGGAGTCCGGCACCTCGGAATCACGAGTTTTGCGAGGGACAAGATCAGTGTTCGGCTCCATCGCTGTGGAAGTTAAAGCCCCCGAGGCGGTGTCTATCCACCGATCCTCTATCCGGGCGATCGGCTCCGGACTAATGGCCGGAGCGGATTCGTGTGCGGCCACCAAGGCACTGTTCGGCGGCAGAGCTAGATCATGCCCATCGCAACAGTGCGGCGCGCTTGGCTGTGGCTCGGGTCCGTCAAAGATCAAGTCTCCGTGGACATCGGCCGTGAAGTTTAGGCTTCCAAATCTGACATGAAGGCCAGGGGCGTAGCTTTCGATCTGCTCCAGATGGCCAAGCGAATTAGCCCGCAGTGCGAAGCCGCCGAATACGAAGATCTGTCCGGGGAGAAAAGTCTCACCCTGGACAGCGTCGTTGGTTGAAGATGCCATCGGGCCTATCGGTGACGACACAGAGGAACTCTCAATGAAAGCACCAATGTCGGTGTCAAAACCGGCGGATCTCGGGTAGGGGGTCCCGAACTGTGCGTCTAGGCGGATGGTAACAGGAGACGAGGGACACGATGTTTTACCCAGGTTCGGGCCCTCTCGATGGAGGTAAAACCCTACGTCCTGCTTGATTAATATTGATGATATGGGTAGTACAAGAGTGGATCTACCATGAGATCAAGGAGGCTAAACCCTAAAGCTAGCCTATGGTATGATTGTTGTAATGTATGTTGTGTCCTACGGACTAAAGCCCTCCGGTTTATATAGACACCGGAGGAGGCTAGGGTTACACAGAGTCGGTTACAATGGTAGGAGATCTACATATCCGTATCGCCAAGCTTGCCTTCCACGCCAAGGAAAGTCCCATCCGGACACGGGACGGAGTCTTCAATCTTGTATCTTCGTAGTCTTGGAGTCCGGCGGACGATGATAATCCGGCTGTCCGGACACCCCCTAGTCCAGGACTCCCTCACCCGTCGTTTTTCCCTTAGTAGCAACATGCCAACAATACAAATATGTGTCTCTCTACCCCTTCTGTAATGAGATTGAACGTACTACTATGCACCACTTCCACTAAAGATCTACTCATCAACTTGGCCAAACAAAACTCCTAGATTGGAAAGCATTACATAACTATAACAATCACACACAATAAAGTTTAGAAAAGACTCAATTAATTTCAATGAATAATCTAATCATAAACCCACAATTCATTGGATCCCAACAAACACACCGCAAAAGAAGATTACATCGAATAGAACTCCAAGGAGAACATTTTATTGAAGATCAAAGAGAAAGAGATAGATAGCCATCTAACTAATCACTATGGACCCGTAGGTCTGTGGTGAACTACTCAAACATCATCAAAGGTGCAGCAAGGTTGATGTAGAAGCCCTCTATGATCGATTCCTCCTCTGGTAGAGTACCGGCGGACGCCTCCAGATGGGATAGCGGAAGAACAGAGGCTTGCGGCGGCGGAATAATTGTTTCGAGTCTCGCTCTGGTGGTTTTGGGATTTTAGGGAATTTATAGAAGTGGAATTAAGTAAAG